CCTGGGGAGTGAGGAGGCTCGGCTGGGCGCTACTGGGGCCAGTGGCTTGGTGGGCGGGGGGACCTTCAGGGGTGGGAGGAGCTGGTGCTCGGGGAGGCTGCCGGTGGCTCTCAGCCCAGCCTGACTGTGGTGGGGGGGAAGGCCGTCAGGGCTGGGGGCATTCGAGGGGAGGGGAGTTTTGGGGCTCCAACATGTGGGGGTCAGAGCCTTGGGCAGAAGAGGCAGGTCCGGTGGGCTAGCCTCCCCAAAGCGGGGGTTCACCTGCTGCCCATGGGCGCATGTGGAATACACGTAGGGACTATCACTTGAAGAACCATAGTCCCAGCCCATGTTGTGTCAAAGGAAATGATGATAAAGGAAAAACAGAGGCCTCTCAAACGGCTTTGAAAATAAATGTTAACAGGCTGGTAGGGGGTGGCCTAGATGTAAGCGTTACTGACCTTATTCCATAAGCAATAAAAGGTCTGTGCCACGGATACAGAACAAGAAAGAAAAAGGCTCCTTCATTCAGTAACCCATAGGAGTCCTAGACAATTTATATAACTCCTTTGCCTGGGCAGTGTCCCTGATGTCCATCCTAAAGGCCAATAACGAATGCAGTGGGGCTTAGCAGGAATAGCAACACCAACAGTTGAAGCTTTTACCCACATAATTTCCTTTTTCTAAAGCCTGCTTGGTTTAGGGTTGGATCTAGGTATTGTGGATCTGAACTAATGTTGTCTGACAATTAGACTGCAAGCTTCTTGGAGCCAGGGCAGTTCAAGTCTGTACAGTGCTGGGCATGCCAACAGCACGCTGGTAAGCATGACTCTGCTTTGGGCTCATGCTCATTTACACTGTATGGGGTTTATCTTCTGCCTGTGGGTTCCTTACAAGGAGGATATGAAAGCTGGACTATTAGTTCAGATTTCTTTGCTTCTCCTGAAGAGAGTCGTGCTGCCTTTCCCCGAGACTATTGCTGAGTGCGAAGCAAGTCTGAACTCAGGAGTCAACAGACGTCACTCCTCCCACCCCCAGCGTCTGTGGCAGGCGCTGCCAAGGTGCTCACAGAGCAGGAGTGAGGAAGGATGCTTGCACAGACTTGCGACAGCAAGACTTTAATGGAGTCCCACCTTCAAGAACACGAGAAGAGTCATAATATGGTTCACTTGAGAACATAGGGCTCAATGCCAAGGACAGTGGAGTTACAATTACACTCATACAGTGCATCATTCCAACTGCAGCGATCGGCGACCCACTGGAAGAGACTGACTCACACCAGAGTGTGTCGAGGCTGGTCCCAATAAGGCTGTCAAATGTACTCTAAAAATGCACATTACTCTACAACATCCACAATACCACTGTTGTACGTAGCAGCAGGTCTTTGCATAATGCTTTCATACAAGGATCACAAGAAACTTTGCAAGCAGTAACCCGCCCACGAATTATCCCCATTTTACAGATGGGGAACTAAGGCACAGTGACTTGCCCAAGATCACACAGCAAGTCAGTGCCAGAGCTGAGAATAGAACCCAGGAGCTCTGACTCCTAGCCTTGTCCACTAGCTTTTACTGTGCTTCATGTCTGAGAGCGAAGAGGGATCACATGCAATATCACACCACCAGAACAGTCCCTTATGGGAGTGGGAGGAAAACTACCTACTGGTAGCATAAGATTTATACAGAATCCAGTGAGGTCCCAATCTGGTTCTTTTAGATGGACATCAGCGGGTTCCTAGAGAGTGTACCTTCACTTATTGCACAACAAAAAGTACACATTTTGGCTACATAGAGTTTGTGGGGACAGAGGGAGTGGCAGGCTGCACTACATGTGGGTGCTGAGTAATCCTTGTTATCTGCTGATCTCACCGACAAAGGCTATTTTTAGGTGAGATCGCAGAATTAGGCTATGTCTTAGTAGCACCTGTCAGAATAACTTATGTAGCTAGGGGTGTGAAAAAAACCCCAAAAAACAACCAACCAAACAAAAAACCCACACCCCTGAGCAACATAAGTTACCCTGTTTAATTATGTCGGTGGGAGAGCTCTCTCCCGTCGGCATAGAGCGGCGACAGCGGAGACCCGTCCAGTGGCACAGCTGCATCAGTACAGCTGTGCTGCTGTGAGGTGTCTGGTGTAGACGTGGCCTTGGCTGTAAGAGGGTAGTGAATAAAACCCCCAAATAAAGTGTTTACTCTTACCACTATTCCAAACACAGCCACAGCAGATCAGAAAGGCAAGCAACAGATGCAGAGGAATTTTTCTTAACCTAATTTTTCTTACTGACTGTAAAGGTGCAACCACCAGTTCTACAAATGCAGCAAGCAACTGCTGACAACCTGACCTCAAACTAACAGGTTCAGTGATCTGAAAACATGAAGCAAGATACCCTTGGAGATTTTTCTGCTGATATCCAGGCCTAGCACCCTGCCAGAATTGGTTGAGCTGGTTACAGGGTATTTCAGAGTTAGCCGTGCCATTTCAGAGGAAAGGGGTTTCAGTAGGGACTTCCTTTGCATGCGCTTCTGCTTGAAGACATCAGTTCTACTTTTTACAAGATAAATAAGGGGTTATTATCCCAAACAGATCTTTCACAAATTAAGTTACCGAAGCCCTGGATTGGGACGGGAAGGTTTTTGTTAGCAATGTGTAGTCGTTTATTGTCAGTGTGACTGACACGGAGGCCATGGCAAATTCAGAAAGGCACAAAGAATAGTCACCCAGTGGCTTGAACAAGACAGTAGCCTTCAGGACTCCTGGGTTCCCTTCCCAGCTGCCACCAACTTGCTGTGAGCCCTTGGGCAAGTCACTTAACTTCATTCTGCCTCAGAGTCCCCCACTTGTAAAGTGGTAACCATCTCTTAGCCTCATGAAGGGGGGGCTGACTTAATGATTAAGGTGCTTGCAGACCGGACCAGAAGTCCCAAGCCTCACTTTTTACAGAGCGGAGTCTAAAGCAGGATCAGCTGGGTTGTCTTCCCATGTAAGATCACCATACTAAAAGAAATCCCAGATTTTTAAAGACTACTTGAGGTAGAAAGAGCTGCTGTCCTTCAGCAGCATTTACAGGAGAAGAACTCAGTAACGTTCTTGGAGATGAAAGAGGCAAGTCCCACAATGAGCCTCAGCAAGCCAGTGGGAATCCAGTCAGAGGAGACAACACCTCTGTCAGGGAAGGACTCTAGCAACGCAAAGAACCAAGGGCCGGCTGTATTCTCAACACAGAGGGGTGCACATTATCACTGATCCTGAGAGGCCTGGTCCTGTGTCAGCATCAGGTTCTACATGCTACTTTTATGCCTCTAAGATGACACCCCTAAGATCAGACTGGCAAGTTGAAGAACAGAGATCCAAACCAGTCAGGAATAGGTCAAGATACAAATGTGAATACTCGAAGGACTATACCCAGATGTACAGACACTCTTTTCTCAACCTATGTAATATATCATTTTTTAACATTAGCTTTATTAAAAGCCAAGGCACAAGTGTGGAAAAGAGAATTGGCTTACAAGAATTGGTTCTTTCGGCATCAACCCCTAGAGAGGCAAGACAACCGCTATTCCATTTAAACTTCTTTAAATGGCACAAAATTACATCTAAGGAAGTGGGAAACTCACTTACTGGAACACAATCAAAATCAACTTCCAGGGCCAGCAGAAAGGAAAGAAAAATCCATAGAGCTGCAGGCTAAAATGCGGTGTCAGACTGAAAACTCCTCCAAGGATACACATCAGATATAGAGGGTGACTCCTGATTAGGAGAGAACGTGTCGAATGAACTCTGATGGACAATCCATTCATCATGTCTTGTGATAGGAGTTGCATATTCCTCAATGCCTCTCTCCGCAGCCATAATATTAGCATATTGGAAAACTACATTTTAAATACTCATCTACCCATACTGAAGGGCTTATGGGACCCTGAATGCAATCAGACAGCCATTCTTCTCCACTCCTCAGCATGAGCAACCTTGTGCAGCAGGCAGAGAAACAAGGCAGCAGCACTCGTGCAATTTAGGGTTAGACTAACAGCAACTTGCAAGATGTCCCTGTTGGCTAAGAGGCAGAACATCAGTTTGAATCGCCGTTCTCCTACTGGATGCTAATTCATCTCAGGGAAAACACATCCCTGAAATCAAATTCCTCAACACTATTCAGCTCACATTTAGACTAGAAAGGGCATTAGGCCTATAGAGCAGAAGGATGAGCCCCTGGTTAGCCTGAGAGGAGGTAAAATTCCCTCCTCTGTCCCTGACTTCTTGTGTGACCTTGGCAAATCCCAGCTGGTCTGTGCCTCAGTTCCCCATCTGTACAATGGGGAAAATAGCACCTACCTTAGCCCTGCCCTGCAAGGAATGTAGAAATCACTAGTGTGTTGCAAGGATAAATAAATTAAAGACTGTGACACACCCAGGTACAATGGTAATGGGGGCCATATACCGAAGAGATAAAGACTAGGTGTAGGGGGAAATACTTTGCACTTAGAGAACCTGAAGACAGTTGCACTGACTGTCAAGTCTCACAATATGCTTGTGGATTTCTATTAACCTTTCCAGAGATGGGGAAATGGAAGCAGAAAGGTAAAGAGACTTGCCTAAGGTCACAGGGCAAGTCAGTATCAGAGCCACCAACCAATCCCAGGAGTCCGGACTGCTAGTCCTCTGCTCTAACCACTGAGCCCATCTCCATTGGGAGGAGAGTGATTGAGAAGATTCAAGATGCTGGTTTGGTGAAATTGTACATGCAAGTCTAGGGGAAAGTGAGAAGGCAAGGACAGGGCATGACAGGGGCATTCAACCCTTCCCCTGCCTCCCACCCTTCCTCCCTCCCTCTACCCCGCCATCCCCCAGTTAGCAACAGAGCAGCAGATTTTAAACCATCACCTCTCCACGCCCCATAAAATGAAGGCTTACTCAGTTGGCTCTGGAAGAAAACCACATATAGCAGTGTAACGTACAGCTCAGATGAATGTTTCCGACTTGAAGATGCTACATTTATTTATTTATTTATTTATTTATTTTTACCTTTGATGGATGTCTCCCGCCTTCTTCTGGTGCAACCTGTCCATTCTGCAAAATGCAAAGAAGAATCCATTGTTAGCAAATGCCAGGCACTATGAAAATGCCATTTTGGAGAGGGACAGTTAAGTTTACCTGAATAGACTTTTATACTAGGCTAGAAGGTGATGAAACCTCCATAAATTGTGTGGGCCAGATTGATAAGATACAGCACAATTGTGTCCTTTACACATCAGATATACATGACAAGTGGAGCTGGTCAAAAAAACCTGACATTTTAACCTAAAAAGACCTGGTATAAACACCACCATTTTGGAACTCGGCCAAGTGAGCGTGATTTATGCACGCTTGGTGTTCTGTGAACATTGGCTGGTGAGGGCGTAGGTTAAAGGAGAGGCAGAGCTGCATCAGCTTTACACACTTGTATTAGCAGGAAAAGCTACACACTGAGATGGATGCGTATGTTACACTTTTGCCTTACGAATCCCAGATCGGAAGTTACAGTTTTACTGCTGATACCCATTTTAAAATGGGCTTATACTGGATATCATTTACATCACTGCTGACAGCGCCCCAGGAACTTCTGCACCAACTGCTTGGCTTGTGGCTGCATTTGGCCCTTTCCACTCAATAAATACTATCCTGCTAGCCAAACGTCTATTGCTGGAATCTGCAGTGAGGTCATGATAGGGGACTTATGCCTGTAATAAAGCGCTGGTCACACAGCCTGTTGCCTTGGGAATGAAAGCGGTGTCAAATTCAGCAAGATGGCAGCCCTGGAGGAGCAAGACGACTTGGGGGTGAAGATGGGTGGGAGATATATACTTAGACACAGATATCTGATATTTAGCAGAGTGGCAAGAACACTCCGTAAAAATCCTTCCCCTGTAAAACTAATTTATCTGTGTTTTTATTAATAAACTTAGCTGAGAAGTGAAAGAATTTGAGAAATGTACTTGCCTCATCTCTGTTTATGCTTTTTTTTTCCCCCGCATCTCAACTTGAGCAACGAAAGGCAATGAAATTAAAACAATGAGGAGTCCGGTGGCATCTTAAAGACTAACAGATTTATTTGGGCATAAGCTTTCATGGGTAAAAAAAACCCACGTCACCCTCATGTTCTAAGCATTGTAATGTGAGTTTTAAATAGTGTGGAGTTGGAGGGGCTTAAATCAACTTTTGTTAGGATTAAGTGTTTTTGTTTTTCCAAGATCGGTCTCAAGCTTTCATAACACTTAACAAGAAGTGATGTTTTGGCCCTGTTTAATTCATGCCCTTTTAAAACAAGGCAGAGAAAACTTGCATTTATTGACCCCTGGTATGACAGCTTTTGGAGTGTGACACTAACCAAGTCTCACTTTAACGCTACAGGGATTCAGTTTCTACCATATCTTACTGGGGCTCCACATTTGTCATGAAATACACACACACACTTAAATATAGTTTTGAACTTCATGCCTACCAGCTGGTGGCTAACTCATGATAAAGAGTTTAGCACAGGGAGGAGTTGGCAGACTCAGCTCTTCACATACAAGTCTAGTCTTCAAAGATAAGCGCAGGGAAAACAGCTGGTAGTCTCCAAGTTGTAGGTGATCTCCCTTTCTATGAGAGCTGTGCCCCGAGCAACGTGTGAATTTAGAGCCACTCCAATTCACAGCATGGCCATGTGAGTTACAGAAGAGAGCAAATCCCTTCCTGCTAGACTGACATTAGCCCTGCAATATTTACACCTATAGGGGCCAATTCTGATCTCACACCAGTGTAGTTCCAGTTGCTTCCAGTTTACCCTAGGGAGAGATCAGTCTCAACCAGTTGCTTCTCTAAAGTGTGGACTTAAGCACATGCTTAAAAAGCTATTGACTTCAATGGGGAAAAATCAAGCACGTACCTAAGAGCTGCTGGGAACAGGGATTACTCAATTGGGGTTCGTGGAAATGACTTTGGCACCCTTGCCACATTCCTTGGCCGGAGCAGCTCAGGTAAGCAACATAAGAGAACACAAGAGTTGCCATACGGGTCAGACCATGCTCCATCTTGCCCACTATCCTGCATGGGACAGTGGCCCGTACCAGGGCTTCAGGGAGTGGACAGACCAGGGCAATTACAGCGTGATCCACCCATCTTCCACTCCTGGTTTCTGGCAGCCGGAAGCTTAGGGTTGCCCTGAGCATGGGGTTGTCTCCCTGACCATCTTGGCTAATAGCCATTGAGGGACCTATCCGCCATGAATGTATCTAATTCTTTTTTGAACCCAGTTATACTTTTGACCATTATAACACCCCATGGTAATGAGTTCCATGGGTTAGTTGTGCATTGTGTGAAAAAGTACTACTAGTTTGAATTAAACCTGCTGCTTGTTAATTTCATCGGGTGACCCCTGTTTTGTATTGTGTGAAATGCACCTCAATCTGGCCTATGCAGTCCAGTCTGGTAAAACTGGTCCCCCAGGCTGCAGCCAGCTCAGTTGTCCTAGACTGCTTCCTTTTGAATAGAAAACCATCCAGATTAATGACTCCCGGCTGCTTTACGCACAAGGATTTCTCTTGGCACCTCCTGGAATCCCAGTTCAAGGTGGAGGTAAAACACAACATGACAGCCCAGCACCATTGACAGTCAAAATGGCATTCACAGATGGAGTTTGTAGTTGGATACAGATACATGCAGACACATACTCTTCAGTCACATCCACCAGTTATTCATGCAGCACCCAAAAAGGCGTTGTTAGATGTGGTTTAAGGACTTAGGGCCAGATTTTCAAAGGTATCAGAGCTGCTTGTTCTAACTCAGCCACTTAGAAAGGCCCAAACCACGTTTTGTTTCCTCTTATACACTTGCGCAGTTTAAAGAATCAGAAGTATTTTCAACCATAAGTGGCCAGAGAAAAACAACAGTACCACTACGGAACCAAACTAGCAGAAGAACTAACTGTTTCCAAGAGATTACAGATGTATTGTCTAGGAGAAGCTGTCAGTGGCTTTAGCCTACAAAGAATATTTAAGAAATTAAGTAAGATCTTTTCCTTGCATAGAGGAGAGTGCCTCCTTGCTATCACTAGCGCAGAAGGGTGCTCGTGTTTATTGGCTCAGCTGTTTCTGATAGACAATTCATAAGTCACTGTTCATTAAAATTCCAGTTTTGTAAGGGTTGTTCATGTATTTAAAAAATAAGCCTGACAAGAGGTGGAATGCCCATTTTAAGTTGAGGAAGTTCACATTTAATTAGCAGCCACTCAGAGGTTACTAAAGGCACATGCCAGGAGAGTGAACCGAGCTTCACATGAGCCAAACTCTGCTTTCATTTGCACCCAGGCAACCCACAGTAATTGAAAATAGACTTTGGCCAACCTGAAACTCAGACGCCCTTAAATAGCCTCAGGAGGAGACACAAGGAGGTGAAGTGCAGTGGTTCTCAACAAGGGGTATGTGTACCCTTGGGGGTACACAGGGATCTTCCAGGGGGTACATCAACTCATCTAGATACCTGCCTACTTTTACAACAGGCTACATAAAAAGCAATAGCCAAGTCAGTACAAACTAAAATTTCATACAGACAATGAAATGTTTATACTACTCTATACAGTGAAATGTAAGTATAATATTTATATTCCAATTAATTTATTTGATAATTATATGGTAAAAATGAGAAAGTCAGCAATTTTTCAGTAAAAATGTGCTGTGACACTTTTGTATTTTTATGTCTGATTGTGTAAGCAAGTAGTTAGGTGAGGTGAAACTTCGGGTACGCAAGACAAATCAGACTCCCGAAAGGGGTACAGTAGCCTGGAAATGTTGAGAGCCACTGACATAGTGCACATGCGTTGCCCCCACAAGTACTGGTATACAAAGCTCTCCACAAGCTCACCTAAGTGGAACACACATCCACAACCACTCCGAGAAGAACATCTAAAAGGAGGAAAGCAAGAGAGTGTGGGTAAGGCATATGACACCTGGGTTTGATACTCGGCTCTGCCACAGAGTTCCTTGGGCTTTGCGATCTTTGGATGGAAGGGACTATTGAAGCACAAGGTTTCAAAACACCGAGTGAGCTGTAACTGATAGAACCGTTAACTGAAAGGGAGTATTGTCTATCCCAGCAGCGTCTCCCCCTTTCACCCTATTGCCTCTTCCTAAGCATTTGGCACGTACCCTTAAGTACTACATTTCTGACTTCCTCCTGTCAAACAGCACGGGTTCTGCAGAAAGCTATTTGTGATGGACTGTAATCCTGCCTGGGAGCAGTAGGGATGCTGGGAGAAATCAAAACAAAGCACACATTCCAGGGGGTGCTTTGCACGCAAACATGTGCCTCAACGGGGAACCAAATTCATCCAACAAATGAGTCACTTTTCAAAGTGCTGTACAACTTAGCTTTGCTGGAAGAAGCCTGCACATTTTGAGCCAAGACTCTTTCCCCCCTCCCCAAAAAAAACCCTTTACCACCTCACCTGGTGGTTTCCATTTAGATCTCTGTGACCCATCTGGAGTTATGTACATATCTCTGTTCTGACACGCAGAGTAGTCATCTCCCCGGGTAACATGCTGCAATTTATTGCTTTATAAATACACCTAAACAAATGTATGGGTTTTTCAGCTTCATCTTTTTGTATTCTAAGAAGCCTCTTTCAAGGCTCCATCCTACATACTATATACGTACACAGCTAACTAGCTATATGTGTGGCACAACCAAAGACAATCTAGGCAGCAAATTGTTCTCTTGTTTCCAAACATAAGGCTACATGACTGCCCCACCCCTAGGGTGACTCAGAAGAGAGCAATGCTGGTGAGAGTGTCATAGGTACTGACCAGGCAATGCCTGCTGCAAGAATTCCATTGTATGAAACTTGGCTCTTGAACTGTTGTGTATTAACAGGGGGCTGACACTGACTAGCCAGGAAGAGCAGTTCGAGCTACAGAAACTGCAGCTCACAGGCATTTCTGCTGGGAGTCAGCAGTCTGTCCACCCAACTTTTCCAGCAAGCGTTGCTCTGTGTCTGAGGAAAGTGCAGATTAAGAGGGCAATCTGACATACCACCTGTAGTGTTGACTTTAGTT